AAAAAAAAAAAAAAAAAAAATCTTTAATATGATACAATTTATAAAATTAAGAAAGAATTTAACAGGTTACAAAGAAAAATATACAGCATTTCAATTCTACATGGACATAAGAATTGTAAAGCTGTCAGCATCTTCAACCATTAACGATCTGAAAGCTAATTACCAAAGCCCTCTCTTCAATCTTTCATCTTAGTAAAGTGAAGCGTTATCTCCGCTCATCTTCCTTGCTCGCGTCAAGCTTGCACGAATCAATTCTCTGATCATCGGTGGAATAACTGGTAATTTCTCTCAGTTTTAGTTTGTTGTTTTCATATTGCTTTCAGATGAAAAGTTTGGGATTATCCCGTTATGTTAACTGCTTATGCGAGCTGATTGTTCTTTCAAAATTTGGTTATGTCGTTTCTCCTTGCTGCTCCTTCCGTAATGATTTGTTGTATGCAATTTCGAGGGTTTTGCGAAGCAATATATATTTTTAGGAAACTTGAGAATCGTACTTGGTTTTGTGCATCTGGGCTGTTAATTGGGCAATCTGTTACTTACCTAGTTATTAAGGGTTGCGCTTTACAGATTGAAAATCTTTCTTTCTTGAGCAGGGTCTGGAAAATATGTCGTGTTTGGTAGAAAAATCAAGTTTTTTTTCTGGGTTGTAATGAGGAAAAAGATGATATATTTTGTTAAAAGATGTTGTCCTTTAAATTTATGCTGTTTATGTTTACTCGATTGAAAAGTCGATCATTTAGGTTTTCGAAGTTTTGGCTACAAGAACTGGGGATCTGCTTGTATGTATTAGTCACTTCTGCAAATTGTTTCTGTGAATTGAATATGAAGGCTGCAACTACAATGATCAGCAATATAAAATCGCGTAATGGGTGGTCGTATGATGACTGAGTTTGTTTTGAATTTTGCTTCTTATCCCCTTCATTCCTCTACTTACATTTTATCAGTTTTCCCATTGAATCTTGTTTTTTATCAGCTGAATCCTGCTTTAAGTCTTGGATTCCTTCTCAAATAGGTTCAGCAATGGCAATGACAGTTGAAGGTTTGTCCCTGTTTCTACCTTATATTGTTGCAGTTGATGAACTTTATTTGTTAATCTATGCAAGATCACAAGTTTGAGATGAAGTCGGCAAACAGCATCATTTGGATTATTTTTCTCGACCAGTTACGAAATGGTTTTCTAGCTGTGCCCATACTGCGGAATCATTTGTGTTTAAAGATATATGAATCTATACTTGATGGATGGTGGATATTCATTTGGTTAACTGATAACTATGTATGGTGTCCATTTTTCATATTTTATTAGTAAAGAACTAATCCTATTATTGTTTTCTGATTTTTTATTTGCGCACGTTGCTGGTCTACTTGTACCTCTATCATGTGGCTGGCCTGTTTGGATGGATGCACAGTGTAAGTAAGCAGTAATGAATAAAATCCAACATTCTGCTTTCCATCTGCATTTCCTTGCGAGTAGATAGTAAGGGAAGAAATCAAGTGCTAGAAACCAAAATCTTACAATTTCTTCTTGTTGCTTTTATTTATCATTAACCTTTTGGTATTCAATTTTCAGTCTTGCAGGTCTTGCCTTCATGTTTTCGTCCAGCATCCTGCTACAAATCTTGGTAAGTCGTTTGAGTATTGGCAATTATATAGCACAAGCTCTGAGCCTGGGACCCCAGCTCTGAGCTCTGAGCCTTCATGTTTTCGTCCAGCATCCTCCTGCAAATCTTACTGATATTTTCACCGCTGTTGAAGTATCAACAGAATGCATTCTTGTTCAACTAGGGTCGGCAAGGGGTTGGGTCCGAGACCCAACTTTGTGAATTCTTTTGTCCCGACACAGGTCACAAAACCATCGATGCACCTGAACCCGCTAGATCCATTTAATAACTCAAAATATTAAAAAGATCTATTACACCGAATGGTTTTTTTATGTACTACCTTTTATGTTTGTGCTATATGGAGTGGCATCCTCTATTTCGTGACGTGCATGACTATAATGGAGGAAGGACCTCTCCTCAAATGTGGTGGTTAGATTTCAGTGTGTAGATGATAGCAGATCTGTATATCAACACTTTGCAACATCCCTTTAACCTTTGAAGGGACAGAATTTCGCCTTTTTTTAGTTGTTTTGGCTTGGTTGCGAGGATATTTTTAGCTTTTCAACTAAGAATATTTGCGTATACTAAATATCAATTTGTAGCAAAGAGAATTAGATGGTAATTGCATTATATTCGCAGTTACTTTATTGTATGTTAGGGATTGTGCCATTTCCATGGACTTTCAAGATTGCTGAGGAGTGAGGACAATGTATCATTCTATAGGCTTGTTTTGTGTCTTTTAATGTTGCCATTTGATATTGGGCACTGGCTCCATCTTTTTTTTTTTCTGTATACTGTAATTCAAATTAGGAAGGGTAATTTGGTATCCCCGTTTTCTGAGAAAGTTGAAATTTGGTTTACTTTTCCATGTGATTGTGCCATTGCATCGACACTTACACACTTCTTCATAGAGATTTTGATTTTTGCTCCATTCATTTGTTTCCTTGACAAAATGCAGGCTTGTGCTATATACAACAACTGGTGGCCCATGCTATCAGGTTCGAGACTTACCTCTATTTTAGTTCAGATTTTAGATAAACAAATGGTTGCATTATGGTTCATAACTCGGTAAATATTTGTTCTCTCAGCTCTTATGTATGTGCTGGTGCCTATGCCTTGTCTGTTTTTTGGCGGTGGGTCCACTCAGTTCCTAATTAGCCGGGATGGTGGCGGGTGTGTATATATATATTTCTCATTTCCCATATATCCGTCCTTTAGTTTTTATTTTATTTTTTTCTTAAAGGCTCCTCAATCATTTCACTTTTTTTAAATTGCAGGTGGATGGATGCAGCTAAGTTTTTAACTGGGGCATCGGCAGTTGGAAGTGTGGCCATACCCATAATTCTAAGGCATGCGGGCTTGATCGGGACAGGAGCCATGTTCATCGAGTTCACGTCTTTCTTCATATTCGTGTGCACCGTACTTTGCTTTCATCGTGCAAGTCTCGAAGACGAATGGTGATTTCTCATGCGCTTTACCTTAAATCCTCCGCGAGTAGATTATGTTCGAACAGAAACTGACATTAGTAGTAAATTCAAATGCGAACATGTTGCAAGAAGAAATATCGCAAAGGTTTGAAGAGAAAAGGACATGAAAAATTGATTCCCACTACCAGTGTACAGAACGAGTTTCGTACTCTGTAAATCTGGTGAACCGAGCTCCATATAACATTGTAAGAGTCTTAGTAAATTTCAGTTAAATTAATCTAGAGAAAGGAAATTTCTTACAGAAGGATATACTCATCAGAATCACCCTCACATTCCTTGTTATGTGTTAAATCTGGGTAAAAATTGACTTTGTAGTAGAGAAAATTGAGGGAAGGATAATACAATTGAACTGTTGGGTAAAAATGGCTTTGTAGTAGAGAAATTTGAGGCAAGGATAATACTGTTGAACTGCTTGAAAACACAATTAAGTTCTTTTCGTGGAAGCTCGAGCTCGACTTGTGTTTTTACTTAAAAGAGCACGTTTGAACAACTAATGGAGATCAACTATTAAAAGACCTCCGCTGAGTTGATTCGTTTATTAAACGATTCGTCTATTAAACAAGCACGGATTCGAATTGTTTATGAACAAGCACGGATTCGAGATTCGGTTTGCCTTGAATAGCAGTCATAAGATCTGAAAATAGTACATCAACATTAGAGCAAACTGGGAAACATTATTATTGATTTATCCACAAAAAAAAAAAA